TGTACCGATTAAATATTAAAATCAAATTCTGCGTTGCTGTCCGTTTTTCCATTTCGTGTTCTTGATCTGAGCTTAGAATTGATATATGAAAAACAAATCCTTTTTTCGTTTTTGGTTTAACCATAAAAAACAAAATAACCAGTCAATTTTTTATTTTTTGTTTTTTGATTGACAATTGAAAATAGAAAGAACGAATGATACACGGATTACTAGGCTATGTTTTCTATCCAATCTGAATTAGAACTCAAGAAAAGCGGATAAATTCAGCTGTAAATTGTTTTTTGTCGTTTTGAAAAAAATATTTAGCAGATGAAAACTGGAATCGTATCTCAATATCCCTGAATTGTTTTTAGATAATTAGTAAAACAGAATTTGTAAAGAAAAAAAAATTAAATAGATCCAAAGAACCTATCAGTAACCATGTCTGTTCCAGCGCATATCATCATTAGAATTTTTTGATTATTATGTCTTCAGTACAGGGGCCATAGCAGGGGCCAGAACATCATCTACAGGGGCACTGGCCCCCGTTGGCCCCTGTCTAGAACCGCCCATGTTCCCAAGTTTAAATATCTCAGCTGATTCATTATGTTTATAAAGCAGCTTAGCTTTTTATTTTCTATTTAAAATAAAAGCGCCCTCATTCCCTTTTTTTCTTTTGGTTAATCCTCATGCGGCTATTAGAATATTGGCTCGTGTCATCTTGCACGTGCAGGACACAGCAGCCCCAGCGGCGTTATTACATCATACTTGTTACAAACGGAGGCTGGCAGCTGTAATATGGGTCAGTGCAGTTTTCCCTGCTCACACTCATGTTTAATGAGTCAAAGCTGATGTCAGTGCTAAAAATAACCACCAGCGGCTCTAAATAAAAACAACAAAACAATAAAAAAAACATACACTGGTGATCACATATGACAATACGTCTTATTTGGCCATGTAACACATCTATAAAGAAATGTTCACATGATATAAAATAGAGCTATGAATTCAGTTACACATACTAACATTTTTGGTACCCCTCAGGATATAAAAAAAAAAATACACGAGAAATTACTTGAATTCTATATAAGAACAAATGAAAGGTCAGGCATTGCTTTTAAACCATGCTTCAAAGGAGTGATGCAATGGATAGTGAGTTATTGAACATTAATTGTGTAATTTATTTTTTAATGTAAATTATTGGTGAATTTTCTAAATGTTGCAGATTGTTTATGGATGTTTGTCTGTTTTGATTGGCATTGATTTTGGTAATGTTTAATTTTTAATTTTTTTGTTGTTTTTTTTGTACCTCACTGGCTGCCGTAGAAATGAGGGCAGGCCCTATAGATGCTGGTGGGATCATTGCACTAATGAATGACTTGAACTGTCAAGCTGTTTGTCATCAAGCAATAAATCAACACTTAGTGTTCCCCAGTGAAAGCAGTGAGGTATATTTTGTTATTTGTATAGTAAATTTATGTTTTTACAGAGCCCCTATGATGACATGGTCAAAAAATTTTTTTTATTGTGGCCACGAAGTAGTATTTCGTGCGCACAAAGTAGTATTTCGTGGCCACGCAATAAGTATAACGTGCGCACGAAATACTACTTCGTAGCCACGCAATAAGTTTATCGTGCGCACGAAATACTATTTCGTGGCCACGCAATAAGTTTAACGTGCGCACGAAATACTACTTCGTAGCCACGCAATAAGTTTATCGTGCGCACGAAATACTTATCAAAATTATATTAATATCATTCCTGGACAACTGGGTAAGCAAATCG